CTGGCTTCTTAAACAATGGCATTTCAAAACCCTCATTATTTTAAAATAATTATAACTTCAAAGACAGTTACAAAACCAGTGCAGAGAGGCCCAGGGACTCTTTCCTTCCATGTTACATTTATATTCAAAGACAGAATCAGTCTTATGTAGCTCAGGCTAGACTCACCATCTCACTGTATAAACCAAGATGGTCTTGAATTCTAGATCCTCCTGCCTCCATCTATCTCCCTCCCAAAGCGCTGGGATTAGAGGTGTGAACCACCACATCTGGCTCCCAGTGTTAATGTCTTACTGAATGCTCACTGAAATACACTAACACCAGGACACACACACTGGGATACTCCACAGGCTTTACTCAGATGCCAACAATGGCATTATAGTTGTCTCCTGAAACAGCTTTCAAATACTGTACCACCACTGTCAGCACCTCTCCTGAGAGTGACTTTGCACCCACGTTTATCAATGGCTGTGTAGGTGATCTCCCCTCTGCTATCTGTTCCTGGCCACAGCCTGCTTCTCTTCTCTCAACTCAGAGGGAAGCTGAGGAGAGGGTTTCAGGAGTAGAGGGAAACCCCAAGGCAGCCGGGCCCTGGGCCTTGTGCTCTTACCCAGGGTAGACTGTGCAGGGCTTTCTAGAAGGAAGGTGGAAGGTGGCATGCTGAACCTCTTCCTCAGGAAGCATCCTTGGTCTGCATCATGCCATTTAGAGTGGTGCACACTCCAGTTTTATCATCTGTAAAGTGGGGTGATAACAAAGTCTATATCCTCCTTGTTAAGAGAATTTAGTGAGCTGGTAGTTTCAAAAAACTTGGACTATGCCTGCTATATAGTAAGGCTGCAGTATTTGACAAACTAATAATAAGAACAAAACAGCTATAAGTGATATTTCAAGTGATCAGAGCTCAAGCTAAGGCTTTTCTAAATAGCCTGGAGTGAACAGGCTTTAGGGAAGCATGAGGGGCTTTGATCGAGCATTTAATTTATACGAGGAAGCCTTTTGCATGTGAAATTGATTTAATATGCAAATAACTGAGGCTGATTGAAGACTCTAACCACATGCTTTAAATAGCAGTTGTTTTTTAGAACAGCCACCAGCCCCTCCACAGCACTGCGGGTGAATCAGGTTTGTGTGCATGCATTTGTGTGTGTGCATATATGTGTGAGCATGCGTATGTGTGTGTGTGTGAGTGTGTGTGTTCATTCCCCTTTCCTCATTGGTAAGAAGCACATCATGTGCTGATCTACACAGGCACATCCCAAGACTATGGTTGGATTTAGATATCTGTTACTGAAGGTCCAGAACTTAACAATGGTCAACTTCCAATATTTTGACTTTACAAATTAAACAAAAAATGTATACATAGAACCATTATGGTTTTCAGTTTCAGTGTAGGACTCAGAAATTCAATATCTTACACTTTAAATTTAGCCTCTTATGAGAGGATTTTGCCAAGCTGCAGGCTAATATAGGTGCTCTCTGTACATTGAAGGCAGTGTAGGCTGACTTTTGGTGCTTAATATATTAAATACATTTTTTAACCCAGTTGTGCTCTGTAGCCCAGGTTGGCCTTGAATCCCAGATCCTCCTCCCAAGTGCCACCACACCTGCCTGATATTAAGAGCATCTTTGCTCTACACTGGTTCTTTCAGTGGGTTCATCAGGATGCAGTGCTGTTGTATGTCAAGGAGTGTTTGAAGTCTCTCATTGCTAAGGACTCCACAGGGCCTGCAAAAGACATAGGCGAGGTCTTGCTGGAAGTGTGTGTGTGTGTGTGTGTGTGTGTGTGTGTGTGTGTGAGTGTGTGTGTGTGTGTGTGTGTGTGTGTGTGTGTGTGTGTGTGTGTACTCCAGGCCTTTTACACCATGCTGAAGATCTGAACTCAGGTCCTCATGCTTGCACAGCAAGAGCTTCACTGGCTGAGCCATCATTCCAGTCTTTTTGTTGTTTTGTTTCGTTTTGGTTTGGTTTGGTTTGGTTTTTGGTTTTTAGAGACAGGGTTTCTCTGTGTAACAGTTCTGTTTGTCCTGGAACTCACAGGAATCCACCTGCCTCCACCTCCTGAGTGCTGGGACCGCCTGCATTTTCTAGTTTTATAGCTACAATCAGAGAGTTGAGAACACATGATTTATGGATTTGGGGACAGATTGGAGGGGATGAGGTTGGAAGGAATCAATTCAGATGGTCAAGACTTTAGAAAGTCTTAAAACAGAGTAAAAGTGGGGATGGATACAGAAGTATAAGGAAAGAAAATCCCAAGGCAACTATTTAGATATAAAGAGAAACCCAGCACTCAGGAAAGACAAGCAGGTGAATGAATCTCTGTGAGTTCAAGGCCAGCCTTGTTTATATAGAGAATTCCAGGACAGCCAAGATTACATAATGAGACCATTAAAACAAAATAAAATAAAAATAAGTAACAAAATAAAAAAGAAATTACATATTGCCACCTGTGACAGCATGAGTAAACCTTGAAAACACTGTGCCAAGGGAAAGACGTCATCACAGAAGTCTGTGTTTTGCCTAATGCTGTTTATAGAAAATATCCAGAATGAAAATATCTGTAGAGACAAATGTTCAGTGGTGGCTATCAGGGTGCTTTGGAGAGGAGGGGTGGGGATAACTAACTGGCTATCCAGAGGACTAAGGATAACTAGCTGGTTATCCAGAGGACTAAGGATAACTAACTGATTAGCCAGAGAACTAGGGATAACTAACTGATTAGCCAGAGAACTAGGGATAACTAACTGATTAGCCAGAGAACTAGGGATAACTAACTGGTTACCCTGCTCTGGGTTTCTTTTATGAGTCATAGAAATACTCTGTGTGGTGATGGCCACACAACCTTGTGAATGCACCAGATACCACTGGATTGTTCTTCTTAAAATAGTTGGGGCTAGCATGATAGAATATTGTGGTGATTTGAATGAAAATGGTCCCCATAGGCCCATAGGGAGTGGTACTATTAGGAGGTGTGACCTTATTGGAGGTGTGGCTTTGTGGGAGAAAGGGCGTCACAGTGGTGGGGTAAGCTTTGAGGTTTCAGAACTCCAGCCAGGCCCAATGTCACTTCCACTTCCTGCTGCCTGCTGGTCCAGATGTAGAAATTTTGATTCCTTCTCCGGTACCATGTCTGCCTACACTCCATCATGCTTTCTGCCATGGCAATAATGGACTAAACCTCTGAACCTGTAAGCCAGCCCCAATTAGATGCTTTCCTTTATAAGAGTTGCTGTGCTCCTGGTGTCTCTTCACAGCAATAGAAACCCTAAGATAAATATGTAGTATGCATGTTTTCTCAGAACATAAGAATGGCGGTCCAACATACATGCATGCACACTATACCATTTTTATAATGAGTCCTTGGAACTGGCAACCCCACCTAAATGTGCTGCACTAAGATTCAAATATATTATTTTGCTCAGAGTTTCTGTGGGAGATTTTGCCTCCAATAATCCAAGAGCAGAGATTCCTAAGGAGTAAGGACCCAGGGCCACACCACAGGATGCTCTCAGAGGGTACACGGACTCTGTTCCAGCTGCCAGGACTGGGCCCAATATCCCTGCCATTTCCCTCTCTTGTTGTTCCTGGCATGAGAGAGCAGGAGGTGGGAAAGAATAACTGAGTCTTTGGGGCCTTCCTGGGCATGGATTCTTTGGGCTGTAGCAAAGAGGGAAAGAGAGGCCTGGGGAGTAGTGCCAAGCTGGAAGTCCTCAGGATGTGGTTCGCCCCTCTGGGGCATCAGCCTGGAGAGTTAAGGGCACAGTCCAGCAGAACCCATGCCCAACAAGATGCAGGCTCAGGAAACCATGCAGAGGCCTGGCCTCTCTCTAGGCCTCAGCTTCCCTGGCAAAGCTCAGATGCCCACAAATCTTCCAAGACAAACAGCTTCAGGACTTTCAAAGCAGCTCTCTGGGCAGAGCCTTATAGGCTGGGCACAGTTCCTGGGCCCACCTGAGGGGACAAGGACTCTGCTCACTGCTGAGAGAGGTAATGTCCTGATTACAGTTTCCAAAGCCCGACATCTTCAGGAAGGAATTCTATCTAGTGGGAATGCTAGTTTAGTTGCCAGCCCTGAGAGACAAGAATATGAGGAAACGTGTTAGAGAGCAAGCTGGTGTGTTTTTTCTTTCTCCACTGAAGGTGGTTCTCAGTGGAGAGGGTGGACTTTTGTCTCGCCTTCTCTGGGCAGTCTCTGGGAAAGGAACGACTAAGGAGGCACATAAGAACTCCTAAAGCCCTTGACTGCCATGGATGGAGCAGTCAGTGGAAAGAGGACTTCCTGGATAACAAAGGCATTGTCACTTGGGATTTCTTGGGCCCCTCCAGAAAGTCACAGGTTAAAAGATTCCATGGTGGCATGTCCTTCTTTTGCCCCAAATCAAGGAAATCCTGACGGGGTATTTCTTACTTCAGAAGTCCTCAGTACCAAGCTGAGAGACATTGTTTGGCCTGAACACTCATTCATTCAGTATTCTCCCTTCCTCCCTCCCTCCCTTCCTCCCTTCCTCCCTCCCTCCCTTCCTCCCTCCCTTCCTTCCTCCCTCCCTCCCTTCCTCCCTCTCTCCCTCCCACCTCTCTCTTCCTCTGTGTATTTGTGTGTGTGTGTGTGTGTGTGTGTGTGTGTGTGTATGTCTAGTTCCAAATCTTGCATCAGGCCCAGTACCACCTAAATAAGACATTATCTAAGTATCTGTTACACGAATCAGGTGTTTTCAACAGGCAAAGTAACACAGCTTCACAGAGTTAAACAAATGCAACATAAAAAATGCAACACATCTTTGCATCATTAAAACAAAGACTCCACAGCATAAACAAATGTAACACATCTTAAAATAATATTCCACAACAACTATGTAACTAAGTTGGCCTCAAACTCTCCATCTTCTATGCCTCTGTTCCCAGAGTGCTAGGTTTACAGGGGTGTGACCACCATACCTAAGCAAGATTCTTTGGAGTTTCAAGAAAGGGTTCCCACATGGACTGAAAGAGAAAGAGCTATAGTTCACGCTCACGAGAAGCTCTGCAGTAGCAGTAGCTAGCTAGCACAGTGGTTAGAGCGTGCTGGTCAGAAGAATCATGGCTCGGAACGCAAGACACTAAGGCTACATTGGCTGATGGCTGATGACTGATGGCTGATGACTGCAACCCAGAACTGAGGAGAGCACTTTCTGTGTGGGACTGAGGAAGAACACAGCACTTCAGAGACAGAAAGATGTGGGGAGAGCTAGGAGGAGCCCACCTTTCCCATGACACCTGCATCTTTGCCTCTCCCTTCGGACATCAGACCTTTCCTGGGTTCAAAACGGACCTGAGAAGCTCCTGTGTCAGTAGGGACTCCTGGGCCACACAGGTTCCTGCGAGTGGAGACTAATGGATTTCTATGAGGGCCCCTAGCACCTCATGTCAGGGGATCTCATTCACAGTGACAAATGGAGCACGTATGTAAACCTGAACTTCTCATCACCCTGCACGTGTTTGCTGCATTCCTTTTCCCTTGAAGTATGTGGATGAATAGAAAGTCTTTAACCCGAAAAAAAGTAAAAGGTAAAACGATTGAATCCATTTTCCTTTTATTATTAAATCAGGCCAGTCTAGGTAAATACATTGTTTTTCCAAATCTGATATGTGCTTGTTCCTTGCATAGTCAGAAAATCTCTATGGGCCGTTAGCTATTATTTAACGTGTACCCCCAGGTGGATGATGGTACGTGAAGAGCTGGGCCATGTGCCAGCCCATTAACTAACATGAAAGGGCTTGCTCTAGACTTTAAAGTTAGAAGATTTGTGTCTAAGCTTAGGAAATAAATGAGAAAAGACCAAGAAACTACAGTTGGAGAGAGAGAAGAAATAGTTGTGCACTTGCATGTTTGTGTTCGTGTGTGTGCACACGTGTGTGGAGGCCAGAAGAGGTTGACATCAGGCCTCCTCCTCAGTTTCTCTCCACCTTCGTTTTTGAACCTAAAACACATTGATTTGGCTAGCTCTCCAGCAAGCCTCGGGGTTCTCCTGTGTCTACCTCCCCAACACAGGGATTACAAGAGAATGTTGTCACCCCTGGCTTTCATGCGGGTGGTGGAGCTCGAACTCAGGTCCTTGTGACTGTATGACAAGCACTGACTGAGCCATCTCCATCGTGCTTGCTTTTTCTTACTATCTGTCTTCTGTTTGAGAGACTTGGGGGCATCTCATCACATAGAGAAAAAGAAACTCCTGTACGATCTCGGGCCATCAGCAAGAATTTGTTTCAGTTTATCTGTTACAAAAGCCTATGGAGCCAGGTGATGGTGGCCCACGCCTTTAACCCCAGCACTTGGGAGGCAGAGGCTGGCAGACCTCCATGAGTTCAAGGCCAGTTTGGTCTGCAGATCAAGTTCCAGGACAGCCAGGGCTGCACGAACGTCCTAGGTTGATGCTGTTTGGGGAACTTGTGGAAAGTACATCATTGGGTGTAGGCTTTGAGTGTTTTTAGTCTCACACCACTTTCTGTTCTTTGCTCTGTGCTTGCATTTGAAGATGCCAGCTCTCCACCTTCGACTTCTGCCACCATGCCTAATGCTTGCATTCCTACCATGGTGAACTCTCATCCCTCCGGAGCATTACGTCAAAATAAACTCATTTTTCCAGAAGAAGGAGGAGGAGGACGAAGAGGAAGAGGAAAGGGAAAGAAAAACCGAAAGCCTAAGGGACCTTACCATGACAGGCAGCTAAGAAGGAGCCTCCAAAATGCACCTGGGAGCCACAGAAAGCCATATCAAGAGGGCACCAGGGCCTCTAGACTTTTAGAAAAGCTTTCTATTATGCCACAAGACCCACACAGCACTTCAAGGAGAAGATGTGAAGATAGTTTTTAAGAGAAAAACCCCTGTCGCTTAGGACATGGCACAGCTGGGTTCATGGCAGGCCCATCTGCTTTCTCATACAAATTATTCAGCCAATGAAGCATTGTGGAGAGAAGGCAGGAGGCCTTTGAAGTCAGCTGTGCTTCCTCGGGTGGCTTCGGTTTTCCTGGGCAGCTGATTTTCACATATCCATCTTCTGGTTCTAACTTGGCCTCCCCTGAGCCCAACAGAGGCTCTACCTCGTTGTTCATTAACCAGGAGGAATGCATATGGGGCTTAAGGGCTTTCAAGAACTCTGCCATTGTAGGGTGGCTGATTTATGGCCCTGTATTTACAGCTCCAACATGGTCCAGCTTGTCCAAAGAAAGGGAGGTAGGCCTTTCTGTTCTGAGTAACAAAGAGATGGCAACCCAGCAGCATGGAGGGCTGCTGCACTCTGGGAAAACTGTGAACAACAAACCTGAACTCTGCATGTGCAGGCACCCGGAGAAGATGCTTCTTCTTTGAGGGCTAGGGGCCTGTTGGTGGTGTGTGCGGCCTGGGGGCCTGTTGGTGGTGTGTGCAGGCTGGTGACCTGTTGGTGGTGTGTGTGGGCTGGTGACCTGTTGGTGGTGTGTGCGGGCTGGGGGCCTGTTGGTGACAGATGCACTACTCTGTATTTGCACCACCACAGGACTCTAGAGAGACACCATTGCTGCCAAGAGGACTCTACTTGAAGACAACAGAATAAATCACCAATATTCAGTTAATCCTGGAGTGACTAAAAACCAGCACATTCATTCATTCGTTTGTCCATTTGCTCATTTGTTTACAACTCTGTAGCATAAAGCTGCTGCCAAACTCGAGTTCCTCCTAGCTCAGCCATCCAAGAGCTGGACAACAGGCATGTACCTCTATGCTCACTAAAAACTGAAAACAGTTCTTTTCTACTGTTTTCCCAGAAAAAAAAATAAAGCATGTTTCTTACCAATAAGAACACGCCACTTTGCACTGGCTTATCAACCCTCCCTTCTCATGTTGCTGGATCCCTGGCATCTCACCCATTAAACTTGACTGGTGTCTGCTAAGTTCTGAGAAGGGCAAGTCGTCTCATGAGCCTCCCTGGTTCCTTCTGGGTAACAGGAAATAGTTCAAGTGCAGAAGTGGAGCCAGGCTTGAGGGAGCCGGGCATCCTGGCTTCCTGGAGGAGGCTAGGTTGTGTGGAAGGGGTCACTGCCAGACCTACCCAGCTCCTCCCAGCTTCTGCTGTGGCTTCCAAAACTAAAGGGGCTTTTCCTCAACCCAGGGAGCTGGGGAGATGAAGGCCTTCTATTTTCTTTCCATTTCAATTTTTATTAGCATCTATTAATTATATATAATAATGGGCTTCATTATGGCATTTTACACATGTGTATAATGTATTTTGATCCTACTCCTACTGCTCCAGTCCTCTTCCCAAGTCCCCAGTCCCCTTGCTACTTCTAAGTTTTCTTTGTGTGTGGTGGGGTGGGTTGTTTTCTTTCTTTATTTATTTTTATTTTTTATTCAATTAACTGCAATCAGGGTTGCTTGCATGACCATGGGTGAGGGAGTTTTGCAAGAGTACCAGCAACCTACATTCTCAGAAAATCTCTCTCCCTCCCCAGCAACTATTAACTGTCATGCTCCTCACAGTGGGATGGGGCCTTGTGAGAGCCTCCCTCATCCATGAGGGAGTATAACTAGGCCCTATCTGCTGAGGTAACCACAGCTGCCATGAGAGTGTGTGTTCAACAGCCACTTTGGGCCTAGAAAACCCTGTTCCAAACACTGTCCTTGTCCAGTTCTGTAGTTCTGTCTGGGTCTGTGTGCTACTGGAACAGGACACTTGAGGGCTGTACTGGTGGGCAGTTCTAGAAGCCACAGAGTGAATGATGAGGAAGCAGCATGAATCCTGTAGTTTCTTGTGTTTCTTCAGAGGCCAAACCAGAACAGTAGAGAAAGTGAGGCCAACAAGAGGATGTGGGCCCGTCTTTGTATTTTTATTCAGAGCCTACTGCTGTATCACGGTAATGACCCAGTCTCTCTGCCTCTTCTTAGCAGGTCTTATCTCCCCTCCCAGTACTGCTATACTGGGGTTCAGGGTTGCAACTCAGGTATTTGGGAGCACACAGTCATAAGCCTTTGGGTTTATAAAGCCTTTGGGTTTATAAAGAGTGTATGCTGTTTTCTTTACTGGTGTTATTCAAAATAGCTTCTTTTACTTTTAATATTTTTTTAAATTTTTAGTCAGAAATATTTAATTAAAAGAGAGAGAAAAACAGGGAGTAGGCACAGCATACATCTTTATCCCAGAACATGGGAGGCAGAGACAGGTGGATTTCTGAGTTTGAGGACAGCCTGGTCTACAGAGTGAGTTCCAGGTCAGCCAGAGCTACCCAGAGAAATTTCCAGGAAAATAAAAATAAAAAGAACACTTAACTTAAAAAAAAGAGAGAGAGTAAGCATAGCACCAGGAGAAAGAGACCCTACCTGCAAGACTAATTCTACCTCAGCTGCACACTAGCACACAGGGAACCAACTTTGCTGTCCATTAGTACAGATGTTAACAAGTGTTCCTCTTTGGGTAGGAAGGGCTCCTGACAAAAGTGACCTTGGCTATGCTTCTAGAATTGTCTGCAATGTGCATCTGAGCCTGTGTGTTCTAAGAAAGCAACAATGGACTACACAGTGCTTTTTACTTCCCTGGTGTGAACTATTCTTTCTGCTGTACTTAGAATGACAGCAAGTCCACTCTAAGCAGGGAACTCCTGAAGCAGAAAACTGTAACTTTCCAAAAGGGAAACGCACATAGCAAACAAATTCAAGAGTGGCATTCCACACCATTTCATTGCATCCAGAGCCCTAACCATGGGCTGACAGTCCTGCCAACTGTGACTCTGTGCACAAAGAGCAGCATTGCACTTGACTGGGTTGAGATGCGTAGACGCAACAACCTGAAGAAAACTGTGGCCCCAGAAAGGACACACAGCACCTAACCATGCCTACACGATGAAGACCTTCCTCAACTATACATTGCTACCTTTATCCTTACTTCCCGTTAATAGAAAAAGTCCTGAGTAGTAGGAGGGAAAGTTCTCTGAGTGTCTTTGACTTGTCTATACTATGTGTCAAAGCTGTTGCTTCGCTTTGCTACAAGACTCATATATCTTACTGTGTCTTGCACAGCCACCTTTTCCCCACCTCAGGGACTAAAGTAAGACACAGCTGGATGCAGAATGTGCCATATCTATTCTGTAAACAAACCTATAAAAGAATGAACCCCAGCCAGTGAGATGCTCAGCAGGGTCACATGCTGCCAAATCTGATGACCTGAGTTTGATCCCAGACACCCACATGATGGAAGGAGAGGAGTGACTCCTTCCAACTGTCCTTTGACTGCCAGATATGAGCTGTGACACACACACACACACACACACACACACACACACACACATTAAAAATGCAATTTAAAAAGTAGAATGGACCTGAGGCCTGAGGTTAGCGGAATAGTGTATGCTAAGAATCCTCAAACCTGGAGACAGAGATAGGAGAATCATTAAAAGGAAACAAACCAAAGCAGGAACCTGCATGGGTCTGAAACAGCTCAACCAAAGAAGTATTCCTGTAAAATACCTGGAAATGAGCAACACACTGAGTCAAGAAGCCAGAGGAAACCCCGTGGTTCATACCACACATACTACCTTTGCTTCCCTTCAGCAGCCAGGGCAGGCAGAGTCGGTTACTCAAAAGCCTAGCAATAACAACTTCCATTCTAATCTGTTGTCTTTCTTTTTGAGCTTAGAGGAGTGAGTTCATTGACATTTCTGGGTCCCAAATTAACTTCTCTGCAAAACAGAGACTTTTTAGAAGTTCCCTTCAACACACAACTTGAGAAGGCCTGGATTACAATGCAAACATAAACACTCCCTTTGAAATCAAAGCCACGCTTAGGAATCTGTGAGAATAATTTCTTTGTTCTCAAAGTCGCCCCACTCCAATCTGCCTCCCTTCTCCCTTTCCAGTCAGAAAGCTCCAATAGGACCCTCAGGATCAAAGTGCACTTCTTTTCCTTCTTCCCCTCTCTCCCATCCTCTGAGGCTGGGGGCATTACCAAGCATTCCTACCAATTATCCACTGATTTCTAACTGATGGCTATACTATCGCCCCCTCCATCAGGGCTACCAAATAATTGCAAGAAACTGTTATCATAATTAAAGATATAGACAAACAGGAGCTGGGGAGATGGTTTAATCCATAAGAGTAAGAGCGCTTGCTACCCAAGCATGATGACCTGAGTTCAAATCCCCATAACTCACATTTTTAAAAAATGGGCACAGTAACACCAGAGGTGCAGTAGTGGCATATATATCTTGGCCATAACCAACAGCTTTCTAATTGGACTTGAGCCTCTCAACAAGAGGGAGACCATGTCTTGTGCTGGAAGACTAGCTAACTACTCAGCACTAGTGAAGTCATAGTTTTTGGAGGCAAATCTATATGCATAAATTTACTAAGCCAGCATAATCACTAGCAACAATCCCTAAACATTTGTCCTTCCCTACTCACAGATAAGTGTAGTCCTCATCCCTCATCAAGGAAACTTCTCTTTGCAACAGACCAAGACCACAGCAGACAACCAATATGAAGCCCAGTCCCAACGGATATATCTACAAAACACTCCCACACCCAAGGCTTAGAGAATATTGCAGAAGAGGGGCAGAAAGATGAGAAGAGGATCAGGGAGTGTGTGGTGAGAATGTGTCTCCTAGCAACACCATAAAGTATCACCAACACGACTGCTCAGATGTCAGCTGAACAAGGGTGACACCAGCGGACCTGCCAAAGTGGAAGGGGAAATCCTACGGGGTCTCAACCCTACATAAAGAACTACAGGCAGCTGAGGAAAGCTGGGAGCAGGAGAGGGGGCCCTCCCCAGAGAAGAGCACTCCCATTGGTTGTCCAGTGCCAAAAGGTCAGCCCTGAAAACATACATACAAGTGATACTACAGGTTATACTTAGGAATACACTTGTGTATACGTATATGAATGCAGTAACCATTAGTGAAAAAAGAGGCCATGAACTAGAAAGAGAGTGGGGAAGGGTATAAAGAGGGATTGGAGGGTAGAAGGGGAAGAGAGAAATGTAATTATAATCTCAAAATTTATATATGTATATATAATATGCACATTAAAAAAAACTGAGTGTGCCCATGCATGATGCCTGCAACTCCGGCAATGTGGGAGAAGGGCAGTAGAGACAGGAGGACCACCTGAGCTTTCTGCCACTATCCCAGCTCCAGGTTCAATGACAGGCTCTATCCCAAGGGAATAAAGTGCAGATTGATGGAGTAGGACACCTGACATCTTCCTCTGGCCTCTGCATACACACATACGCATATGCAGGAACACCATAGACATCCCATAAACAAAGAAATGGTGAACTATTATGAAAGGTCACCTGGTTCAGCCGCCCCCTGCCTTAAGGAGTGTCTACACACTAACCCTTTTTGTGTGTTTTGTGCATTGACGCAGATGGTGCACCAGCTCTGCATTCCTTGGAAGATGCTAGACTCTTATTTTAAATTTCTTATTTTCATATATGTTTCAGAAGTGCAAGAACAATGGGTGTGAGGGGGAAAGCTATTAGAAAAATGCTATCAATTACCGCACACCCAGATCACAGCTCTGAAAAGGTAGCCGGGGACAGGAATCAAGATGGTGCTCTTCTTAAGTCTCTTAAGTACAAGTCTTTGAAACCACTATCTTCCGAAAACATCATAATGATCTTACAATCATGACTTCAAACGGTCTGAATGAACCCACAGAGAAAAGCATGCTCAGCTTCTTGAGGCAAGGGAAGAGATTCATCTAGAAAATTAATAGAAAGTAGGCAAGCCCCTACACGTAGCCACCCTGTTGCTACAATAAATTACGACACTGCTGAAAGCTTTTATAAAATTAGATACCTCAGTA